GGTGATTGGGGGTGATTGGGGTGATTGGGAGGTGATGGGGGATGATTGGGGGGTGATTGGGGGTGATTGAGAGGTGATTGGGGTGATTGAGAGGTGATTGGGGGTGATTGGGAGGTGATGGGGGATGATTTGGGAGTGATTAGAGGTGATTGGGGTGATTAGGAGGTGATGGGGTGTGATTGGGAGGTGATGGGGGGTGATTGGTGAGTGATTGTGGGGTGATTGGAGTGATTGGGAGTTGATGGGGGGTGATTGGGTGTTGATTGGGTGTGTTGGGTGGTGATTGGGAGGTGATGGGGTGATTGGGGGTGATGGGGGTGATTGGGGGTGGATTGCTGGGTGACTGGGGGTAATAGGGTGATTGGGAGGTGATCGGGTGATTGGGGTGATTGGGGATGATTGGGGTGATTGGGAGGTGATGAGGGATGATTGGGGGATGATTGGGGGGTGGTTGGGGTGTATTGGGAGTGATTGGGGAGTGATTGGGGGGTGATTGGTGTGATTGGGAGGTGATGGGGGTGATTGGGGGTGATGGGGGTGATTTAGGGTGATTGGGAGGTGATGGGGTGATTGGGGTGATTGGGGGTGATTGGGGTGATTGGGAGGTGATGGGGGATGGGGGATGATTGGGGGGTGATTGGGGAGTGATTGGGGGTGATTGAGGGGTGATTGGGGGTGATTGGGTGATTGGGTGATTAGGAGGTGATGGGGGTGATTGGGGTGTATTGGGGAGTGATTGGGGAGTGATTGGGGGGTGATTGGGGGTGATTGGGGGTGATTAGGGGGTGATTGAGGGTGATTGGAAAGTGATTGGGGGGTGATTGGGGAGTGATTGGGAGTGATTGGGGTGATTGGGAAGTGATGGGGGTAATGGGGATGATTGGGGCATCAGGGTAGGCCCACGTGGTGGATTGCGCCCTCGGGGAAAGGACCAGAGAGAGAGCCTCCACTGGGACCTCCGGAAGGAGCGGCCTACCAGCCTGGCCGGGAGGGGAGCCTGCCTCCCCGTGGCTCTGGCTCAGGCGCAGCCTGGTGTCTGGGCATCACTCACACTGGAACCGCCAAGATCAGCCGGAGACCGGTGTCTGCGGGAGGGAGGTTCCGGGGGCCTGGGGACAGCTGCCAGGGCAGAGGACGGGGGTGGGAGGTAACTGGGGGGCCGGAGGTCTGGACACTCACCCTGCCCTGCAGGCCGTTGCCCTCCACCTCCTCCTCAGACACCGCGAGCCACGCCCAACAGCCGGCCCAACGGCACCGCCTCCTCCCCTCCCCCTCCCGACACACCCCGCCCAGCACGTGCCCCCTCCCCTCTCCCCCCCCTCCCCCACCTTACCCCCTTATCCCCCAGGGGACCCCGAGGCCCCACCTGGGCCTCTGCCAACGCCACTTGGTGCCCCCTGCACACCTCCTCCCGCCCCCCAAGTCTGCAAAGGCGCCTGGGCGGGGGGGTTGGGGGGGGGGAGGAAGGCGGCGGGTAACGTTGGGGGGGGGGGGGGGAGGAAGGCGGCGGGTAACGGGCCGGGCTCAGGTCCGAACGCTGAACCGCAGGTGCCATGTGGGCCTCGGGCCCAGGCGCTGGGCTCTGGCACCCCGGCCAGGCTCCAGAGGCCGGGCGCAGGCCGGACGGGCCCCATGGCTGCTGAGGGCCTTGCTCTGGGGTCCAGGCAGCCTGGGCACAATCCCTCCTCCCCTCCCTAGGCCCGTCCCACCCCCATTGACGGGCTCCTAGGGATCCACGCAGGGCCCCTGCCTCTGGTCTCCATCCACCTCGAGAAGGGCTTCCTATGGGCCAGGCCAGGCCCTGCGTCCGCCCGAGGGCATGGCCGGTGCTGGCCGGTGGGAACAGGCCGCCCAGGCGCTCAGCATCCCCATCCGAGGAGCCAGAACTGCACCTCCTCTCCACCTGCTTCCTCCTGGGGACGCCCGCAGCCACAGGCTGCTCTGCCTTGAGCCCCTTGGCCAGCCTGTGCCGTGCTCAGAGAGGACCGAGGCACAGGATTTTGTGTTTCTTCTGGAAGATGAAGAGTGAGCTGGGGGACAGTGGAAGAAACTGCCAGAGTAAAGGAATGTCTTAAAGGGCCAGTGATGAAGCCAACTGGGAGACCAGAGCCAAGAGCTACTAAGTAGCTTCTCTCCCTTTGAGAGGCAGCTAGCCGGGACAGATTCTGCGGTTACTGAAATGGCTTTGGGCGGCCAGTGGTAGTATGGGAATGGGACTCTGCCCTTCTGTTTTTGCACGCTGCCTACGTGTTCCATTAGAGCCTTAGTATAGCAATCACAGTTTAATTGTCCAATCTGGTAACACCAGCATTGCTGTCATGGCTGGTGCAGATGCTCTGTCTCCTCAGAGGTGTGCCTGGTGATTTTTTTCTGCACAGGCAGGCATGGTGCTCCCAGCTCTGTCCTCAGAGCACTCTGCATTGTGCACACCTATGGCAATGAGGGAGTTTCCAGGCTGCAGGCAGGAAGAAGGAGCTTAGGTGGAGCCAGGAAAACTCTATTTTCTTCTGTTGAAAGTTATTAAATTTTTGTCTTTATTGTTGAAAGAATTACAGTATTTTTTAAATCCCCATTGATTAAAAAATCCCCTCTACTCCACACCACCCCCACACAGGCCTTCACTGCACAGGTTGTGTCCAGGATTTATATATATATATATATATATATATATATATATATATATATAGAGAGAGAGAGAGAGAGAGAGAGAGAGAGAGAGAGAGAGAGAAAGCTTTGGCTAATCTCCCCCTACTTTCCACCTTCCCTCTGAGATTCGTCAGTCTCTCTGCTGTCACCAGAGTTACGCGTCTTGAGACACCCTTTTCTTTCCACCTTTGGACTGGTCCCAGGTGAGTCATTTCACCCGAGTGGTACCATCTCCCAGGGGCTTGGGTTAGGAGTCCCTATAGTGGACAGTGTAAGCAGAGAGCTAGAAATCCCAAAGAAAAAATGAAAAGAAGCGGTAGAGATTAAAAAAAGCCTATAACAAAAATGAAGAATGCCTTTCATGGGCTTATTGGTAGGTGGGTTTATTATTAGCTGAGAAAGAAATCTCTGAGCTTGAGGATATGTTATCAGAATCCTTAAAAACTACAAAGAGCAAAGAGAACAAAGGTTGAAGTAAAAACCAAACAGAATATTCAACTACTATGGCACAACAACAAAAGGTATAACGTGTGTAATGGGAGTACTGAAAAGAGGAAAGAAAGAAAGAAAGAAAGAAAGAAAGAAAGAAAGAAAGAAAGAAAGAAAGAAAGAAAAGAAAAGAAAAGAAAAGAAAAGAAAAGAAAAGAAAAGAAAAGAAAAGAAAAGAAAGAAAATATGTAAAGCAATAAGCCTGAGAATTTCCCAAAATTAAAAGAAATATTCCATGTTTATGGATAGGAATATGCAGATGCAATTCTTCTCCATTTGCTTTTTAGATTCAATGCAATCCCTGGCAAGTTATTTGGAGGCAAAGGAGACGAAATAGTGAAAACGATGTTGAAGGAGAAGAACAAAGTTGGAGACTGTCTCTACCCTGCAGCAAGACTTAGCACAGCACCGCATCTGGCCAGTGTGGTATCAGGAAAAGTCAGACATAAATGGGACAGAGCAAAACCCACATAAATATCGTCTGACAAAGAAGAGACTGCAATGGAGCAAAGCTGGTCTTCTCCACAAGTAGTGCTGGAACTGGACACCCACACACAAAAGAATGAACTGGACGACACAGAATGTACTTCCTTCACAAAACCCCAGCCAAGTGGATCACAGACCTCAACGCAGACTGTGAAACTGGAAGCCATCCTAGTAGGAAATGTTAGACAGACTTGGGCATGGCAATGACCTTTTAGACACACCAATAAGCTAGATGTCATTAAAATTAAAACCTCCACTCTGCAAAGACACTGTTAAGAGACTGAAAAGACAAATCATAGACCAGGAGAAAAGAACTGTAAAGCACACCTGATCAAGGACTGATACCCAAAATATACAAACAACTCTTAAAACTCAACAGGAAGAAAGAAAAAAAAAAAAACAATTAAAAATGGGCAAAAGTTTGAACAGATCTCACCAAAGAAGATGGCAAATAAGCATATGAAAAAGTCGCTCTACATGAAATGCAAATTAAATCGACGAGATACTTTACACACCCACCGGAGTGGCCTGAACCCAGGGCCCTGGCGCCCCCCACACACACCCCGTGCTGAGAGGGTCTGGCCAGCAGGGGGCGGCCTGGGCTGCGGCGCAGGGGGCGCTGAAGCTGGAGTTCCAGCCCGACTCTGCCTGGCGGGACAGGCTGCGGAGGATCGGACGGCGACATGCCTCCCCCCATCCACCCGCTCCCCCGCCTGGAAGCGCCTTCCGCTCCTCCATCTGCCAACCAGGGGTGTTGGGAGCCAGTTGGGGAGGAAGCTCGGGGACGCTCCCGCCTCTGCGGCTCTAGGGCGGCTGCATGGAGCCTCCTGCGCGCTCCCAGCGCAGAGGGCGGAGGCCAGGACCGCACCGCCGCCCGGAGCACACAGCCTGTACCGTCCCCGCCGTCACCATTCACTTACAGGTAATGAGTTTGCACCATTCACTTACAGGTAATGAGTTTGCACCATTCACTTACAGGTAATGAGTTTGCACCATTCACTTACATGTAATGAGTTTGCACCATTCACTTACATGTAATGAGTTTGCACCATTCACTTACATGTAATGAGTTCTCATTATTCGCTTACAGGTAGCCCTGGCTCACCCTCCTCCATACTCCATCCAACCCCTCCTCCCAGGTTACCTGCGGGTGGAGGGGCCTTGGTTAGAGGTCTTCCTGGACAGAGAGCCCGTCCCTCGGGGCGGACCCCGCCGCCCCCGCCCCGCCCTCCGCAGGCCCCGCGGGAGGCCCCGCCCCGGGCCGCGGGGGTGGGACTGGCCGGCCCCGCCCCGGGGAGTGACCGCCCGGAGCGCCTGGGGCCGCGGGGGAACCCGGGCAGGGGCGGGCGGCTGCGGGATGAGCGGGATGAGCGGGCGGGATGAGCGCGGCGCCCGTGCTGCTGAGCGCGGCCGAGGTCCAGCGCCACCTCCGCGGCGGCGGCCGCCTCCTCGCGGCGCTGGAGGCCGCCCTGGCCGCCTTCTCCCGCGGCCCCGCGGGTGGCGTGGCGCAGCCCGTGCGCTCCGTGGTGCCCGTGGCGCCGCACCGGGGGTGAGCGTGGTGAGGGGGAGGAGGGGGCGGGGCCGGGGGGCAGAGGGGGCTGAAGCCTTTCCCCGCAGGTTCCTGGGGGTCATGCCGGCCTACAGCGCCGCGGAGGACGCCCTGGCCACGAAGCTCGTCACCTTCTATGAGCGCCCCCGCGCCGCCCCCGCCGCGCCCTCGCACCAGGCCACCGTGCTGCTGCTGGAGCCGCGCTCCGGAGCCCTCCTGGCGGTGAGCGACCGGCTGTGCCCTGTGCCGTGCCCTGTGCCCGAGCCCTGTGCCCTGTGCCCGAGCCCTGTGCCCGTGCCCTGTGCCCCTGCCCTGTGCCCGAGCCCTGTGCCCGTGCCCTGTGCCCGTGCCCTGTGCCCCTGTCCTGTGCCCATGCCTGTGCCCGAGCCCTGTGCCCGAGCCCTGTGCCCGTGCCCTGTGCCCGTGCCCTGTGCCCGAGCCCTGTGCCCGAGCCCTGTGCCCTGTGCCTGTGCCCATGCCCTGTGCCCGAACCCTGTGCCCTGTGCCCGAGCCCTGTGCCCGTGCCCTGTGCCCGTGCCCAAGCCCTGTGCCCGAGCCCTGTGCTTGTGCCCGTGCCCTGTGCCCGTGCCCTGTGCCCGAGCCCTGTGCCCTGTGCCCGTGCCCTATGCCTCAGCCCTGTGCCCGAGCCCTGTACCCATGCCCTGTGCCCGAGCCCTGTGCCCTGTGCCCCTGCCCTGTGCCCTGTGCCCGAGCCCTGTGCCCTGTGCCCCTGCCCTGTGCCCTGTGCCTGTGCCCTGTGCCCCTGCCCTGTGCCCTGTGCCTGTGCCCGAACCCTGTGCCTGTGCCCTGTGCCCGAGCCTGTGCCCTGTGCCTGTGCCCCTGCCCTGTGCCCTGTGCCCTGTGCCCAAGCCCTGTGCCCTGTGCCCGTGCCCGTGCCCTGTGCCCCTGCCCTGTGCCCATGCCTGTGTCCTGTGCCCAAGCCCTGTGCCCGTGCCTGTGCCCTGTGCCCGAGCCCTGTGCCCTGTGCCTGTGCCCTGTGCCCGTGCCCTGAGCCCTGTGCCCCTGCCCTGTGCCCTGTGCCTGTGCCTTGTGCCCCTGCCCTGTGCCCTGTGCCTGTGCCCGAGCCCTGTGCCCTGTGCCTTTGCCTGTGCCCTGTGCCTGAGCCCTGTGCCCTGTGCCCGTGCCCTGTGCCCGTGCCCTGAGCCCTGTGCCCCTGCCCTGTGCCCTGTGCCTGTGCCCTGTGCCCTGTGCCCGTGCCCTGTGCCCGTGCCCAAGCCCTGTGCCCTGTGCCTGTACCTGTGCCTGTGCCCTGTGCCCCTGCCCTGTGCCTGTGCCCTGTGCCCGTGCCCTGTGCCTGTGCCCTGTGCCCATGCCCTGTGACCTGGAGGGTGTCTGTGCCCTGACTATGCGGGGAGGGGTGTCCTGTGCCCGCGGCTGTCGGGGAGGGGTGTCCTGTGCCCGCGGTATGGGGGAGGGGTGTCCTGTGCCCGCGTTATGGGGGAGGGGTGTCCTCTGCCCCTGGAGCCTTTGCGAGGCACACCCCCACACTGTCAGCTTCCCGGGGGCACAGGCAGAGGTGGCCCACAGCCCGCCTGCACCACTGGTGACGCGAACCCTTCTAGAAGGGCCCCGTTTTGCAGAGGAGGAAACTGAGTCATAGGACACCAGGCTCAGCCTCCCTGTCAGAGGGGGCAGTAAGGGCCTCCAGAGGCACTCAGAGCAAGTCCAGGGCCTGTCCCTCATCGCCTTTGGAACCACCTACTGAGCACTGACCATCCGTGCAGGCATCCTGCTGCCTTCCTCTGGGGGTTCTTGTTATACCGCCCCCCCCCCCAGGTCCCACTGAGGTCGGGAGCTCTGTCTGAGGCCTCATAGCCGGTTCCTGAGAGACCCAGCGATGCCTGCTGTGGAGCAGCCTCTCACCCAGCCCTGGGCCCACAGGCCATGCCCTGCCCGCAGGCGCTGTGATGCCAGGCAGGCAGCAGAGGCCTCAGCAGACGCTCCATGGTCCATCCAAACCTGCCCTGGGTCCTTAGCTTCCCCCCGAACCTCCACCTTCACAGGAACCTAACTGCTCACTGCTCCCCTGAGAAGAGAATCTGGCCCGGCCCATGGGGCTGATCCCACTCTGCCTGCCCCATGGTTTCTGGGGAAGCGGGACCTGCCTAGACTTTCCAGCTCACAGGTCAAGGCCTAAACCCGTCCTGGCTGCCTCAGTAGCGGTTCCTTTCTTGTCTATAAAACAAGACCCTGGAGCTGCCTGTGAGGAGGGAGGGATGCGGGCAGAGGAGGGGAGCTGAGGAGTGAAGGTGTCTTTCAAAGTCGCATTTCTCAGAAGTGGGAGAGTGAAGTCCAGGGGTAACACAGCCTTCACTGTGGGCACGATGGTACCTCTTGGGCTGTGGTTTAGGGTGTACGTGTGGGTGGGTGCTCCGTGCTTGCTCTCTGTCCTTCCTCCCAAGGTCATGGACGGAAACGTCATCACCGCGAAGAGAACCGCAGCCGTGTCCGCCATCGCCACCAAGGTGAGCTGGTGCCGGGCAGCATGGGGAGGCGGGGTGCTTCAGGCTCATGTGTCTACGGGAGAAGTGGGGTCTTACCTTGGTCTTCTCACAAACGTAGCTGGGACTCTGCACGCCAGACATGGGTGTCAGTGAGCGCAGCGATCCACACGTTATTAGCTACCACTCACTGAGCCTGCCATTCCCCGGTGCCCACTGCACTGTCCCAGACGCTCCCCTCAGTCCTGCCAGCAGATGAGGTTGCATCTCCAGTTGGGGAAGGTGGCTCGCAGAGGATGTGTGAGCTGTTCAGGATCACAGAGCTGCTAAATGTCAGAGAAAGAATTTAAAACTTGACCCTTTAACTCCCGAGACTGCGTTTGCCCCTGCACTACCAACTCTGGCAAACCTGAGGCTGCCCAGAGGGCAGAGAGTGCTGCCAGGGAGCAGAGAGCGAGCGCCTGTGCAGGCGGGGGCAGCACAGAGCAGACACAGAGAGTGAGAGCGTTGAGATAATGAGCAAACAAGAGCCTCTTTTGAGTTTAACAACACGCCCTGATTTGCTTTAAAGACAGCACTGCCACCAGCAACAAAAAGTGCATTAGTATTTGAAACTAAAGCAGAACCAACATTACAGGGAAGGGTTACAGACAGTTTAAATTATCCAGAAAAGACTTCACGGAGGAGGCGCCATGGGGTGAAGACTGAAGGAAGCGGGGGGAGGGGGGGGCGGGGATTGGGAAAGCTTTCCTGTGTTGGGGGCCTGAGCTGAGATTTAAAGGAGAAGGGAGTTCCCGGTGAGGGGCAGGAAAAGGAGGGCCCTGGGCCCTGTGGGCGCTGTTCCTGCAGCCCCCACAGCCAAAGCAGCCTGTTTGGAGGGAGGTGCCGCCTGGACAGGGCTGTGGGGACTGGCACGTGAAGGGGAAAAGGTCTGGGAACCGGGTTCGGAGCCCGAGTGTGACGGAAACGGATCTGGCAGCGGCCGGGCCGGCAGAGGCCGGGCATGCAGGTTGGGCATGTGGAGACGGAGGGAAGAGGGAGGACTGACTGGCCACTGTACATTCAGGAAGGAACCTGAGCACACACCTTGCTAAGCTGGTTTCTAGAAATTCTATCCGGACCCAATTCAAACCGAAACTGCACCGGGGCTCCCTGGCGATGCCTGCTGCTGACTTCGGAGCAGAGTGACCCGCTGCCAGCGTCTTTCCAAAGCCACCCCGCTGTCTCGCCTTCGCTCGGGGGTCAGTGAGGAAGGCAGAGCGGGCATCCCCGGCCTCGCAGAGTCACGGGGTGGAGACGGCCCCCCCACGCACGTCACAGTAGGCCTGCCAGGCTGCCGGGTCTTGCCCGGTCAGTGGTGCCCAGCCCAGGCTGCGCCGGGGCTGTGTCCCCTGAGCCCTGGTCGCCGCGCTGAGGACGGCCCGAGGACCTCGCTTCTAAAAAGCCTCCCGTTCGTGCTGACGGCCAACCGGGCTCGGGAGCCAAAGGGCTCTCCGCCCCTCCCGGGCCAGGTGCAACCCTGCGCCCAAGCCTCTTGGCTCTTCCCGGGCAGGCAGTTCACTCTGAGGAGTGCAGGGGCATGTTGGGGATGCTCTGTGCGAGCCGGTTTCCCTCCCCTCCGCCCTCACCGAGCGCTTTGGGGGAGACGCATCGGCGTGCTCAGGCCGCCGGACGCTTCAGCGTTGTTCCCAAGGTGGCACCGGCAAGGCTTCGGCTTGGCGTGTGTTTGCTCACCAGATGTCAGCGTGCCCCCGGGCCTGGCCTGTGCTCCGCCCGGCCCCGGTGGTTAAGGAAAAGTGGACACGGAGCTCCAGTCCACTCAGGGAGACAGACATTAACGCACAGACCACACCAATGAGCGTGAGCTACCGCCCTGCGGACACCGAGCGGAGGGAGGGAGAGCTGTGAGGGTGGACAATGGCGTGGGCTAGGGGGCTTTTCCTGTGGGAGGGTCTCTGGGCTGAGATTGGAAGGAGAAAAGGAATTCCTCCCAAGGGGCAGGAAGAGGACGGAACCGCCCTGTGGGGTCAGAGGCACAGGGGCCTGGGAAACTGGTGCGGTTGGAGGTCAGACGCCCATGGCAGGAGGGGCTGGGGAGGGGGTGGGCCAGGCTGAGAGACCTTGGCAAATGCAGATGGAGCACAGGCTTGCCAGCTCTGTGAGGGAGAAATGCAGGGATTCACACACGTGTTTTTAATTATCCACATTTTACAGGAAAAGGCAGGGTGTGGGAAATCCTGCTATGATTTAATAAGTCTTATGAGTGTTATGCTGTTTACAAAATGTTATCAATTATGGCATCACCTTTAAGGTAATAGCCTGTGGGTTCCCTTAACACGACCCGCGTGGTTCAGGGCCCACTCAGGGTCCGGTTTCTGGAGAAGGCCGCACACTAAAATGAAGAGAGAGACTGGAAAAGTTAATTTGGAAAATGGGGTCCAGGTGGGAGTCCACCTCTAGTGGGAAGACTAATCTGGCCTTTCACCATTCCTTTTATTGAGATTCTGAAACAAAGACATCTCTTAGGCCTGAAGTTCCAACAAGAATTTACATTTACATATGATTAACAAATTAAAGTTGCCTCAAGCACCACTATCTCAACTAGACAATGAGTTAATAGCTCTGACCATTCAGAGCCCTCAAGGTCAGCTAGCTCTTTTTACATTTTATCTCCAGTGACAATGTTAGGTTTTGTTCCCCGCCAGAGCCCATCAAAGTTGGACATTTAGTTTCAGAGGATGGGGGTCACGTTTACAGTACATGAACCATTTCTGAAGCCAGGGCGGACTCCCAGAAAGAGGTTGCTATTAACTGAGAACAGAAAACAGTTCATTTCGTGGAGTAACATTACCCAGCTCCTGATAGCATCTCTATCATGTTATTGATATATCGTTACTAGAGGCCTGGTGCATGAATTTGTGCACGGGTGGGGTCTGGCTGGCCTGTCCCAATGGGGGCCATTAGGGCCAGGCTGGGGGGTAGGGGTGGGAGGGGACATGGAGGTTGGCTGGCTGTCCCTGTCCTCAGTTAGGGTGGGAGATGGGGGGTGGGGGCGATGGGGGCCAGGGCAGCTGGGAGGAGAGGTCAGAGGTTGCTGCCAGCCCTGCCCCTGATCGGGAGTGGGAGGGGATCCAATCAGGGGCAGGGTAGTGCCAGCTGGAGAGAGGGGCCTTGGGGGTTTGGGGTGGAAGTTAGGGCCCGATCAGGCTGGCTGACTGCAGCAGTGCTCATCACAGTGACCGGCTGTTCCAGTCGTTCTGGTCGCTCTGTTCTGGTCACTTGGCTTTTATATATGTAGATCCTCTCTTTTTAGTGGTTACAGTGATTAAGTTCTAGTTTTTAAGCAAGTTTGCTGATTATAACACCATGTTGTTGTTTATATACACTGTACCAGGTGTTAGCTCTCTAGGGCTTAATATAAAAATGCCGATGAGAACAGAGCGTTGAATGGTGGTTCCCGGGGGTGGCCGGGTGCTGCCAGCGGGAGTTTGCGGGAGCAAAAAGGGGCGGAGCCACTGGCTCAAGCTGCCCGTGTTCCTCACTCGTGAGCCTTTCCTTCTTGTTTCTCTCCAATAGTTTCTGAAGCCGCCCAGCAGTGAAGTGCTGTGCATCCTGGGGGCTGGGGTCCAGGCCTACAGCCACTATGAGGTCTTCACGGAGCAGTTCTCCTACAAGGAGGTGAGTCCCGGGGGCTGGGCACAGGGGCTCTGGCCGGGGTCTGCTCCTCACTGCAGCAGGGCGTGCTGGACAGTGAGGGAGGGTCCTATCATGACCATCCTTTAATGACTTCCCAGAATCCCTGGGACAGACAGAGGCAGGGAGGCCTGGCACCTCTTGAGTGTCTCAGTTCACAGGGTTTGTCTGAGGGTGCAGCCAGCCTAGCAGTTAGTCTAAAGGGCTCTATGATATCTGTGGTCTAAGCCCTTCACCTGTCCTTTTGCACGCCCCCGCCCCCGCTCCCCAACCGACACACACACACACTCACACACATATACACACACTTACACACACACATACACACTCACACACACACACACTCATACACACACTTACACACACACAGACACACACACATACACACACACACACTCACACACTCACACACATAGACACACACTCACACTCATACACTCACACTCACACACACACTGTCACACACACACACACTCACACACACAGACACACACACATACACACACTCACACACTCACACACACTCATATACTCACACACACACACTCACACACACACAGTCACACACTGTCACATACACTCACACACACACTGTCACACACACTCACACACACTCACACACACACAGTCACACACACTCACACACACAAACACAGACACACACACACAATCACACACTGTCACATACACTCACACTCACACACACACTGTCACACACACTCACACACACACTCACACACACACACTCACACACACAGTCACACACACAAACACAGACACACACACACAATCACACACTGTCACATACACTCACACTCACACACACACACACTCACACACACACACACACACACACACTCACTCACAAACACACAGTCACACACACAAACACAGACACACACACACACACACACACACACACACACACACACGTCTCGCGGGAGACCTGGGAGTCTAAGTCTTCGGGGTTATGGATTCAGGAACTGGGAGTGAGGCCTAGAGAACAGGAGCTTACAGCACTTTTTCTACAGCCCAGATGTGGGCCCACCTCTCCCCAGATGTGGCTCACCTTCCTCCCGGGACCATTTGGTTCTGCTTTTGTTTTTTGCACACGTGTGAGAGGGCCAGGGCAAACTTAAAGTGTGATGTTTTTAGGATAATTGGGAAATGTGGACTATCAGGAAGAAGACGACAGAAAAGTCTATTTTAAAAACCAGCAACAGTTCACAGTTTCCATTCCTTCTTCACCAGCACTTTATAAGTTTTAATCTTATTAGATATACAGTTACATATCCGCCTTTCCATTGAATGTTCTAACATCACTGCTTGCATAGATTCCTTCCTTTTTGTATAATTTTTGCATAGCTTTCTGTCAGAGGGGCGGTGTGGTCAGCCATTCTCTCATGACCGGGCGTGCTGTACTGGGTTTGCACTTGGGTGCACAGAACCTTGGCTGATAAAGGTACGCAGACAGAGGTCTGTTTCCACGTTACATTTCCTTATGAGAGACTGCATAGGCCTCATTTTCAGCTGAAGGCTGCCAGTCCCGCTCTGACATGGCTGTCTGCTAGGCAAGCTATCCAGGCCCACCACAAGGATTTAACTGTAGCTACTGCTCCGGCCCTTTCCTCTATCCTCAGACCTTTGCTCTTGAGCTCCCTCAGGCCCTTCAGAGATCAAGTTATTCCCCCAAAGCCATGCCATGGACAGCCCGCACTGCCACGACTCCTTCATCACCCCATTTTATAGACATGGAAACTGAGGCTGACTGAGGCTGAGTTGCTCCAGGAAGTACGTGAGGAGCAGGGTTGAGTCTATGCCTAACAGGTCCAGAACTTGCTCCGCTAATCATTGGGCTGGGTGGTAGCTATCACATTAACGATGTTGAATGTCCTACGCAGACGTGAAGAATATCTCTCCTAAGATGGGGGACATCTGTAATACTCTCAGCAAAAAGATCTCCCTCTCTCTCTCTCTCTCTGTATATATAATATATATATAAGCCTAAATGACCAGACGACCAATGACCAGCTGACCGCTCACTATGATGCGCATTGACCACCAGGGGACAGATGCTCAATGTAGGGGCTGCCCCTCTGGTCAGTGAGCTCCACAGCAGGAGTGTTGCTACCCTGACCGACAGACACCACCCCGGCTTGTGGCAGGCGTGAGCCTCTCCTGCCGCTGAGGCAGCTCCCCGGCCTCTGGCTGCTCTGCGCACTAAGTCCCTCGGGGGATGTCGGACTGCCAGTTTCAGCCGATCCCCCAAGGCAGGCAGTCTGACATCCCCGAGGGGTCCCAGGTTGTGAGGGCAAGGCCAGGCAGAGGGAGCCCGCTGGTGCACAGATGGGCCTCTAGTAAACAAGTAAAAAGAAACAAAGAGGAACTCCCCTTCTGTAAAGGACGGTCATTTTTAAACATCTGCCCGGGTGTCTGCCCAGGTTAATGCTGCCTCCCTGATGAATGCCTTTCCTTCCGGGGGTGATTTACATAAGCACAGCCTGACCCAAGGGGTTCCCCTTTCCTTGGGTGTCTGGGCTGGCTGACACGTCAGTAGCCAGGCAATCATGGCACCCGTGTCCCTTTTGCTGCCCCCACGAGGTGAGAATCTGGAACCGCACTAAGGAGAAGGCCCAGAAGTTTGCAGATTCCGTGGCGGGAGAGGTGCAGGTCTGCTCATCCGTCCAGGAGGCTGTGACCGGTGCCGATGTGATCATCACAGTCACCATGGCAACAGAGCCCATTTTGTTTGGCGAGTGGGTGAAGCCGGGGGCTCACATCAATGGTAAGCGGCGTGGTGTCCTGGTGGCTGGTGCGGGGCCGGCCCCGAGGCGGGCCAGGGCCACAGCTGCAGGGCTGCTCTGCCACAGGCCACGCCTCCGAGCCCTCGGAGACGTGTGGCCATAAGCAGTATTCACCCAAAACACCAAGCGAAATCTGCAAACCGGAAACTAGTAGAATTTCTACATGACCTAACAGTATGGCAATTGGCCAGTCACAGCTCAGTTTTTTCATGTAATGAAGTTTAAATGATAAAGCCAAATGGCTCATTTATCTTTAACATTTAGAACTACAAAAGAGTAATTATAACACAGAAGACATTTAATGTGAAATGTGAATACTTTCTGGTATGTGATTGGATAGGTGCAACTCTAAATATAGGAGTTCCTGCCTGGCTGGTGTGGCTCAGTGTGGGTGTCAGCCTATGAACCAGGAGGCCATTGGTTCGATTCCCTGTCAGGGCACATACCCAGGTTGTGGGCTTGATTCCAAGTAGGGGTATGCAGAAGGCAGCTGATCTATGATGTTTCTCTCTTGTCGATGTTTTTTTCTATCCCTCTCACTCTACCTCTCTAAAACAGAATAAAAAACTAAAATAAATATTAAGCATAGGAGTTCCCGTGGTCTCTGAACATAGGGCCCTGGGGTAAGAGCTGTTCTAAACTCTTTATGGTGCTGCCCGTCATTCGATCCTTTCAACACCTCAGGAAGCAGGAGCTATTATTATTTTTAAATATTTTTTATTGTTTTTTTTACAGAGAGGAAGGGAGAGGGATAGAGAGTTAGAAACATCGATGAGAGAGAATCATCGATCAGCTGCCTCCGGCACACTCCCCACTGGGGATGTGCCCACAACCAAGGTACATGCCCTTGACCGGAATCGAACCTGGGACCCTTGAGTCTGCAGGCCGACGCTCTATCCACTGAGCCACACCGGTTAGGGCAAGGAGCTATTATTATTACATTCCCTTTTTATAGGTGGGTAAACTAAGGCACAGAGAAATTAAGCCTATTGCTAACCTGCTCAAAGTCAGAGGTCCTTAGCGGCAGAGTTGGGATTCGAGCTGAAGCTCTTCACTACTGCTCTGGTTCTCAGGAAGAAGCCTGGGTTCTGGTGCATGTGCAGGCCAAGACCAGGGCATTTAAACAGGCCCTCGGTGCCCTGTCTTAGTGACATGCACAAGGCATGAGCTCAAACCTGAGCTCTCTGTGCACATTGGCAGGTGAGCCTGCAGGAGCCGAGCGTCATGATTCCCACTCACCTACCGGAGCCATTGGGAGCCTGCCCTGTGCCCGGCCTGTGTCCGGCCTGCCACACAGGCTGCCGTCCCTGAACCACACCGAGGCCCCGCGCTCTCCTGAGGGGACAGAGACAACAGAGAGTGGACAGTCAGTGAATAGGTGGTCATGCTGCAGACAGCTCTGTGAAGGGAAGCAAGCACGCAGGTGTGAGGAAGGGGCAGAGCAAACTGAAGGCCTGAGCTGGTCGGTCAGGTGGGGGGTGTGGGCCCCTGGGAAGCAGGCGGTGGTAGGCAGGTGGACGGAGCCTGGCTTTGTGGGCAGTGGAACATTCCTGAAAGGATTTGAGAAACAAGAGAAACCACTTCTTGGTGAAATGAACACGAGCTTCAGCAAGGCAGACTTGATGTTTTTCCGGCTTAAAACAGCGCGTGCTTGTGATCTCGGCCTCTGAGTGTGGCCACGGGGCCTCTTCTGCCCACGCTGGAATCTGGCGTTGTCCAGGCTGCAGCCTCGGGACACGGGCGGGCGGCCTCTGCCAGGCAGGCGGCGGTTCCTTCTGTTGTGGGGAGCTGGCATCTGCTTCTTGGGACCTTCTCGGCTCCCGGAAGCAAACCACCTTCCCTGCCGCATGACGCTCCACTTCCAAGCCAGTCACTGAGAGCCGCTCGCACTGGGCTCTCCCGGCTGCCTCTGAGCCGGGATGTCTGACGCTCCCCGCCGGCAGCGTGGCGCAGCCAGGGAGGCCCACAGAGAGGGTGCAGGCAGGCGCAGCCAGCAGATGGCACAGGCTCCCGGCTTGGCTGAGAGCCAGACTCAGCCTCCGCCTCCCCCATCCCCCTCCTCCTGCCCTTCGTGGCCGGATGCACAGAGAGTGACCAGCCAGCTCAGAGGGAGGAACGTTGACCTTTACCTCGCAGATCTGCTGGTCCGGGGCAATTCTGGTTCCAAAGCCTGACCTGAGCCTGACCTGAGCTCTTGAGGAGGCTCCGGCCTCTATAGCTCCTGCAGTGGCGGCCCCAGGTCAGAGGGGGAGTCAGACTGCAGCGTCAACCAGGTACTGAGCTAGGTTGCAAGCTCCCCCTCCCCCATTTTCTTTTCACTCTCACTCCACCAACCAGGGTCTGCCCGCCCCCTCCCCCCCCCCCCCCCCCCCCCCCCCCGGCTAGCCCCTCTGAAGCAGAGCCAGAGCCCCTGAGTGCCGCTCTGCTGCCTGGCCCACTCCGTCTGCCCCGCCTCACGGCCTGTGAGGGCTGGGCCCACTCAGAACAGGAGCAGAGCCCTGAGAAGAGGCCCGGGAGGCCAGGGTCCCACCTTCTGTGGCTCCTTTCCTTTGTGCAGGACCTCACAGGCTGTGTCAGGATGCACGTGTTTTACTCTGACATTAGGGCAAGGGAGAACCGGAGTGGGGGTGGCAGGGAGAGCGGTGGCAGTGACGCTGCCTAGCAGAGGGGCTTTGCTTGGGCCGTTGAATGTTCTAAAAATCGAGAAATAGCCCCTGAGAACAGAGGTCCCGGTCTGCTTCGAAGGAAGTGGAACAGCCAGGGGGCCTGCATTCTCGCCGAGCTCGCTGGTGCTGGGCCTCGGCGGACACGTGCAGTCTCCATGCCCCAGGGCCCGGCCGCCTCGCTCCGAGGCGCTGTCTGAGTGGGCTTGGTTGGTGTATCTGGCTGCAGAGGGCGTGCTCTGTCTGCTCCTCCAGACCCTGGCAGCAGGCTCCTCACAGGCGGAGACTAGTGGCTGGAGGTGTGGGCAGGGTGGTGAAGGCCAGACGGGCAGCAGGTCTGAGGAAGCGCCCAGGCTGGGTGAGGACGTCCCTGCCCCCAAAGGAGGACACGGAGGGACGTGCCTGGTGAGCGCCGAGCCTCTGAGCCTCCGAGGGGCATCTTGTACTGGAGGCCAGACACAGCGGACCCCGTGGACGGGCGCCCGTGCCTCACACTCCCCAGGGAGCGAGGGGAGGACAGGGCAGGGCCGTGCGGCAGGCGGGCTCGGGCCCAGGTGTTCAGTCAGTCCTGCTGACGGGAGGCTGCCCGGCTCAGGCGGCTTTGCTGTCTCGCAGCCGTGGGGGCCAGCAGGCCGGACTGGAGGGAGCTGGACGACCGGCTGCTGGCGCAGGCCGTGCTGTACGTGGACTCCCGGGAGGCGGCCCTCAAGGAGTCCGGGGACGTGCTGCTGTCCGGAGTGAGCCCCTCTCCCGCTCCCCCCGCCCCCCGCCTGCTCCCCTCCCCTCCCCCCACTGGCCTGCTCCCCTCCCCCCCCCCGGCCTGCTCCCCTCCCCTCCCCCCGCTGGCCTGCTCCCCTCCCCTCCCCCCGCTGGCCTGCTCCCCTCCCCTCCCCCCGCTGGCCTGCTCCCCTCCCCCCCCGCCTGCTCCCCTCCCCTCCCCCCCACTGGCCTGCTCCCCTCCCCACCCCCCCCCACTGGCCTGCTCCCCTCCCCCCCCCCCCCGCTGGCCTGCTCCCCTCCCCTCCCCTCCCCCCAGCTGGCCTGCTCCCCTCCCCTCCCCCCAGCTGGCCTGCTCCCCTCCCCCCCCCCCCGCTGGCCTGCTCCCCTCCCCTCCCCTCCCCCCAGCTGGCCTGCTCCCCTCCCCTCCCCCCGCTGGCCTGCTCCCCTCCCCCCCCCCCCCGCTGGCCTGCTCCCCTCCCCTCCCCTCCCCCCAGCTGGCCTGCTCCCCTCCCCTCCCCCCGCTGGCCTGCTCCCCTCCCCTCCCCCCGCTGGCCTGCTCCCCTCCCCTCCCCTCCCCCCAGCTGGCCTGCTCCCCTCCCCTTCCCCCCCCCACTGGCCTGCTCCCCTCCCCTTCCCCCACTGGCCTGCTCCCCTTCCCTCCCCCCGCTGGCCTGCTCCCCTCCCCTCCCCCCGCTGGCCTGCTCCCCTCCCCTCCCCTTCCCCCCCACTGCTCCCCTCCCCTCCCCTCCCCCCAACTGGCCTGCTCCAGGCCCCATCCACCCACCTCGGTGTGGGGGGACAGCCTGAACCCCTCACTCACTGCTGGTCCCTTTAGAGTGGCAGGGCCATTCCCTGGTGGCCTGGCTCTGCCCTGTGGCCACACCAGAGGCCTGGGGATGGACTGCTGCGCCAGAACCTCCAAGGCTGCCAACCACAGAGGGCGACGGAGGGCTGCCTCAGCCGGCCAGCTCTTTGGGAGTCAGAGCGGAAATGCCATCTCGCTGACCCCACCACGGGCGTCACGGGCCCAGGCAGAGGGCCGAGCCGTCGAGGGGGAGGGTCCTCCTGGCCACACTGTTCATAGGGCCCTGTGCTCACCCCCCTGTGCCCACCCCCCTGTGCCCATCCCCCTGTGCCCACCCCCTGTGCCCACCCCCCTGTGCTCACCCCCCTGTGCCCACCCCCTGTGCCCACCCCCCTGTGCTCACCCCCCTGTGCCCACCCCCTGTGCTCAACCCCTGTGCCCACCCCCTGTGCCCACCCCCCTGTGCCCACCCCTCTGTGCCCACCCCTCATGCTCACTCCCCATGCCCACCCCCCTGTGCCCACCCCTCTGTGCCCACCCCCCTGTGCCCACCCCCCTGTGCCCACCCCCTGTGCCCACCCCCCTGTGCCACCCCCCTGTGCCCACCCCCCTGTGCCACCCCCCTGTGCTCACCCCCCTGTGCTTACCCCCTGTGCTCAACCCCCTGTGCCCACCCCCCTGTGCCCACCCTCCTGTGCCCACTCCTCTGTGCTCACCCCCCTGTGCCCACCCCCCTGTGCCCACCCCCCTGAGCCCACCCCACATGCTCACCCCCCTGTGCCCACCCCCCTGTCCCCACCCCCCTGTGCCCACCCCCCATGCTCACCCCCCTGTGCCCACCCCTCTGTGCCCACCCCCCATGCTTACCCCCCTGTGCCCACCCCCCTGTGCCTACCCCCCGTGCTCACCCCCCCCCGTGCTCACCCCCCCCCGTGCTCACCCCCCCCGTGCTCACCCCCCCCCCCGTGCTCACGCCCCCCCGCGCTCACACCCCCATGCTCACCCCCTCCGCGCTCACCCCCCCCCCGTGCTCACACCCCCGTGCTCACCCCCCCCCCCGTGCTCACCCCCCCCCGTGCTCACACCCCCGTGCTCACACCCCCCCCCCCCGTGCTCCCCCGCAGGCGCAGATCTTCGCTGAGCTGGGTGAGGTGGTGGCGGGCGTGAAGCCGGCGCTCTGCACGGAGACCACCGTGTTCAAGTCTCTGGGTAACCGGCGCCTCACCATCTGGCCGCGGGGGCGGGGTGGCCGCCGGGGGCCCTGGGTCGGGGCCCCTCTCCATGCAGGGCCCCGCCTGGCGCCCGGCGGTGGCGCGTGTGGAGGGCGTGTGGGTGGGCACAGCACGCGCCAGCGGTCTCCTCACGGCTGCGGAGGTGGAGGTGGGGGCACGTGAGAAGACGGAGGGGAGCCAGTCCGGGGCCGCCGGCCAGCTCTCCGCCCCGGCGCTCTGTCACGGCGATGCCAGGCTCTGCGGCGCCCGTCACTGGGCCCACCTGCCGCTGAGGCGAAGGCCGGTGGGCAGAGCGGCCGGCGCCCTGGGCCCGGGCCGGCCTGGCCAAGCCGCCCACCTCTGTCCGACTGCAGCCCGATGGTGTTTGCGTTTTCCGGTGTTCGGCGGGCGGGGATTGCGGGACTGAGTGTTGCGTGAAGTTCCGACCCCGTGTCTGCAGGGAAGGCTGGCTGGTGCACGGCCGCTCCCGCGGCCTCGTGTCCGCACTGCTGCCCGCGCAGCACGGCCGGCCCCCGCGGTCACCGCCGAGCTGAGCCTGGGACGTGCACGCTGTTTGGCGGCTTCCCCCGCGGAGCACCATGTTCCCGCCGGGACCCTCAGCCCGCCTCCTGGCACGGCCTTCCTGCCCGACGCCCTCAGCACCACGGACAAGGCTGCTCCAGACGGCTGTTCTGACAAAAGTGACCCCAGTTTCTGTGCCTTCCAGGAATGGCGGTGGAGGACGCGGTCGTGGCCAAGTTAGTGTACGATTCCTGGGCTTCTGGGAAATAGCCGAGGCGCGGCACCCAGGCCTCGCCTCCGCCGCCTGTGGTTTCCAGATCAGACGAGGGAGCCATCGCGCCTTGCCGAGCTCGTCCTGCCTCTTCCTCTCAGCCAGGAGTCCTCCTGGGTTCATGGCTGAGGGGCTGGGGGGAGGGGGGATGGGAGGCGGTGGCAGCAGCACCCCTTCCCCCGGGCACCCCACTGCTCTGTCTCCTGGAAATAAAGCGACTTCCTATCCTGCCATTTTTGCTTCGGTATCTCTGTCCCTCGTGGCAGGGAAAGTGAGGGGAGCAAGTTCCCCACTCGCTCGCTGGGGGCGTGCCGGTGACGGCCACTGGTGTTTTCTATTCTTACATTGGGATGCAATGTGGACACCACAGAACCAAAGTGCACAGGTCAGTGGCTGTGAGTATAGAAACCATGGTCGCAGAGCGGTCAGCCATCACCACGTGTGATCCCAGGACATTTCCATCACCCAGGGAGACCCAGACCCTCCTTTCCCGCCGGCCACCGCTGCCTGCGCTCCCTCCCATGGACCCGCCCTCTGGGCTGTCCTGTAAGTGGGCGCAGACCTCACAGCCTTTGCTTCTTCCAGCCGAGGCCAGGGGACAGTTGGCTTCTGCGTTGCTCGGGACTCCTTGGGAGGTCATGGTGGAGACCACAACTCCAGCTGCCGTAAGCTGAGTGCCGCGCGTGGAATGGCGCTGGTGGAAGGTGTGGTAAGGAGGACACAGGCTCTGCTCGGCCACAGCTGCCCCTGGGCTCCGGGTGCCAGCGAGACGCCGGCTAGCTGCCACCCCCCCCTTCGCCTGGGCTCCTGCAGGGCTGGCACCGCCACCAGCAGGTCCCCGGGGGGCGGGCAGTGGCCGGCAGCGCCTGCCTCCATGGGGCCCTCCAGCAGCCCCAGCAGAGACGGCTCTTCCCCAGAACCGAGGCGCACCGGCCCATCGCGTCCCGTGCCCCGCCCGAGCCCGGCACTGTGGCTGAGAGGCCAGTGTCCTGCACGGCTTGCACCGGCGTCGGCCGGCCGGCCTCCCGGACGGGGAGAGGGAACCCTTTACTTCCTGACATGTAGGCCCTCACTCCTTCTGCCAGTTCTGTTCATACATGGTGAGCTGTGCCCAGCGGGCTATCCTGTTGTGTTCATCACAGACGTGGCATTAGCCTTAGTTCAGGGAATAGTCCATAAGCCATGGACTCGACCAGCTGGGCCACTGTAACTGAAGGAAGATGCAGCTGTTCAGAACACACACTGATGCCCTCCTGGCCGCATGAGGCTCAGGCAGTCACTGCCCTTTCTAACGCTCCTGGATGGGGTTTTCACTGAAACCCATGTGCGCTTCAGGCCACACCCTCCTGTCTCACCCCAGAGTCCACACCAAGGTGAGAGCATTCAGTTCTGGGCAAACATACACCCCCTCCCCCATATTTGCTGAGCCAGCAGGGCAGCACCGACCATCCCACCTGGAAAGGATCTCCTCGACGAGGCAGCAGGACAAAGTCATGCAGGCTGAGTTCCAGCAGCGTTCCGCTGCCTGCCTTTCCCTGTCTCTCAAGCACCAGGCGTCCCACTCTGCGAGTGGCAAGGAGGCTCCCAGCTCATGCTACTCTGAGGAGTGTGCACAGCACACCCTGGGGAGCACCTGTCAGTGGCAGCATTTCCGAGCGCTTCTGCTACCGCCCAGCAGCAGGCCTCGGCAGAGCTGTTTCTCTGTTTTCCGTGTCCATCTCCATCACGGAAAGGGAAGCAGTCAGATTTCTGAGTGGAGGAGCTGGGGATTAAGAAATTAAAGAAAGAGACCAAGAGGCAGAAATAGATTCATCGAGCTGGGCCAACCTCTCTGATGGAGAGGCAGTGAGCAGGTTTATTTATAGGCTCAAAGGAGCTTATTTGCACTCTTAACTAGGCACTAGCATTACTAGAGTTACATGTCTAGACCTGCCCCTGCTGACACCTGGACAAAGGTGAGTCAGAACTGAATAACACCTCCCTGTCCTCTTCGTGGGCGGGAGGTATGACCGGGACACGGATTCTGCCAGTGCCTCGGGCTCAGCTGACAATTTAAAGGATTCCACGTGCCTTCTCGGGTGGCCCTCTACAACGGGGACACGGGGAGAGGCTCCAGCACCGGCAATACAAGTCCCGACAGAGGCAGGCTCGGGCGCGAGTGCCGTCCAGGCGGCCACTGCTTTCGTGCACATTATGGAAAGCAAATACAACATCAGTTTGCTCCGGACCGACAACATGCAGTATTTGTAAACACCATCCCTTCGCACATTGTTATCTATCGAAGACTGACACCCATCTGAATTCACCCACCTGTCCAGGACCCCTCCCTGTGCTTTCTCCTCAGCGATGCCTCCCAAAACACCCAGGCCAAATCGGAGTGTGAGCCAGGAAGCACGCCAAAGACACCGCTGTTTCCACTTCACACATGTAATCCATGGTCAGTGTCACCTGATGTAAGTCTGGCCATAAAAGTTCGGTGAAGCTTAACCATTCAGTAAGGTTTTGGTTTGAATTTGAGCTTGCCACTCAAAAAAATGTTAGAGCAATGTTGCCCACTTACGTTACAGTAGCTGCATGGACTCAGACATGCACCAACGGGGATGGATAGCAGGACATGAAAGAGGCAGATAGTGAGCAAGAAAATGTAAAGTTTACTTTTATAACCAAATTTTCCTTACAGAGAACCGAGGCATTTTTTCCTTTTATGTTTCAGAGGGTAAGCACTCTTAGAAAAACCATCAAATCAGCCAGCCTTTGTCCCCTGTGCGTTTCTCTCCCCTCTTCCCACCCTCTTGCTCAGGCTTTCATAACGAAATGCCACAGACAGGCGGTGTAGACACAGAACTTGAATTTCCTACAGCTCTGAAGGCTGGGAGTCCAGGACCCGGTGTCGGCAGCCTGGTTCCTCCTGAGGCCCCACGCTCTGGGTCCAGATGGCCGTCCTCTTGCTGTGCCCTCACTGGCTTCTTCCCTGTGCGTGTGCACCCCTGGTGTCTCTCCCTTCTCCTTTTAAGGGCACCAATCATGTGGGACTAGGGCCCCATCCTATGACCCCATTTAACTTTCATTACCTTTTTGATAAAGGTCCTATCTCCAAATCCAGCCACATTGCGGGGTAGGGCATCAGTAGATGAATTTGGGGGAAACACATTTCAGTCCATAGCAAGTACTCTATATTCTAGTTCTCTCTTCACTCTTCCTGCCTGACACCCTGTCTGGGTACTCAGGCAGAAGTATTGTAGACCCACTTTCTTTACTTGCAAGCATATAACTTCTGTTAGAGCAGTGGTTCCCAACCTTTCTTCGGCCATGTCCCACCTAAGCATCTCTAAAATCCTGATGCCCCCGTGACACAGAATTCTTATTACTCAAAAAGCGGGCTCCTATTCACATGCAGGGGGCCTAAACGGCCATGAACGTGGTCTAAACAAGCTGCCAATGAACATGGCCTCCATGAAAGAGAAGAATAAAAGAACCGAAGGACAGTGGAGGTACTGAGGAAGAAATCACTGAGAAATTGTTTAATGATGTGATATGGAAAAAATAGCAAATACCGTTTCAAAACATGTAATAGAGAACTGAAGTGCATAAATATGTCACAATATGTATTTGTATGCTGTATGTGAGGCCCCTAGAACCGTAGAAGTGCAAAAACTCACTGTTAATGACTCATTCGCAAACTGCCCCTCTTAAAAATCAAATTGCCCCCCTGTGGGGCAGGTACCCATGTTGGGAACCACTGACACATTTCAGTTGGGTGTCAGATCTCACACCAATGAAGGAACTTTGATCTTCATCAATAAACAATGTCTAGGGCTAAGGACAGAACTGGAATTAGGATCCCCAGGCCACAAGAGTCAGAAAGTAAAAAGCAGTGTGATGAGGGTTGTAATCTTAAATCTAGAGTTGGAAAAGTAAAGTATTTTTTTTCTGCCATCCATTTAACCCTTTCCATATTCATAAATATTAAAAATAAAACTGAAGTGAAACGCCATTTTTTATTCCCAGGTCTCCTTGAGTTTCTCCTGGTGGCTTATTTCTATAGACTTTCTCTGAGTACAGTCTAGCCTCAAACTTTTAGGTGGGCACCTACAAAACCCGCACCGCCCCAGCTGTGGCTCTCAGTGGAGAGCAGGCACTGCAGGTGCACCCAGGGGGCACTGCCTTGCCCCCTGCGACTCCCCCTGCTGGCCCAGCGCCCCATCACAGGCTGGTGTCCACCAGTGGGCCAGGCTGCTGGAGCACCTGCTTCCTTGTGTTTATGGCGTTCAGAACCTTCTTCCTGGGGCCCAGCTGCATTTGTATGCTCTGAAGGTCCTCGTCGGAGCAAAGCAGCAGAGCTTCCAGGTCCATCTGCTCCCTCATGAAGAACGGAAGGAACTGCTCCAGGTGGTGGGACTGCAGGAACACCTCCAGGGGCGTGGCGTCCACCACGTCCTCCTCCCACTCCACCGCCTCCTCCTCCCACGGCAAGGCGCCCTCCCAGCTGTCTCCGTCCCCCTCCTCATCGGCCGCTGCGTCCTCAGCCTGCGCCGCTCCTTGTTGCCGAAACAACTCACTGACCACGTTAAACCCCAGCTCCCTCCTGTCGTCTGACATGTCTTCTGGGCTCGCCAGCCTGTTCCTTTTAAAGACGAGATTGCCGAGACCTGGGCGGCTGAGAATGGACTCGTGCTGGGCACAGCTGTCCTCTGCCGGGAGCTTCTCTCCAGCCTCCCCTGAGACTGCGCCCTCCTCCTCCTCGCCGAACACCTCCATCACGTTCCTCTGCCCGTCCCGGCCGCCCAGCCCGCTCGGTGCCGTGCCCTTGTTCTTCCTGAACTGCATCTTGAAGGTGCCCTTAATGCCCTTGGACAGCGACCCGAGCACGCTGGCGGCAGCGGCGCCGGAGAGGGAGGACCCGGCGAGCATGCCCCTGGAAGAGGAGAGGGTGCCCGCCTCCTCCCTGGTGGGGGCGCGGGCCATCTTGCTCTGGTGCTTCTGCTGGCGCCGCTCACACTCTCGGACCTGCCGCCGGGCGTTCTTCTGGGCCTGCTCCTTCAGCCTGGCCACCTTCCTGGGGTTCGAGATGCCCTGGGCGGTGGCCGCCGTGTCCAGCAGAGCCACGCACTCGCTCCGCTCTCTGCCGGCGGCGGCGTCCAGCGGGGACTGGAAGTCGTTGTCCAGGGCGAAGATGTTGGCGCCGAAGTTGATGAGGAAGGACACGCAGTGGGCATGGCCGTTGGAGGCGGCGTAGTGCAGAGGCGTGTTCCCCCAGATGTCGCATCTGTCGGGGTCCCCCCTGGAAGAGAAAGTGTCGGAGATACAGCGCATTGTTCTCTCAGGATGTAAGGCCCAAACCAGCGAATAAATGGACAGTGAATCCCACCTTGGCAGCCTTAGAGGAAACCACGGAAAGTCTAGGCATGTCAGCTCTGGGCGGCGCACGGCCAGACACAGAGCCCGTTTCTGACCTGGGTCTCCTTCATTTTAATCAAGAAAATATTTCCAAAACACCCCCTCAAAAAGCAGCCTTCGTGTCTCATTGGCCGGAATTGGGTCACGTGCCTAATGAGAGGAAAAGAGCTGGGACATGTGACTTAGATTAAGATTTCCCCAGCAAACGTTTCGCAACTGACTCTCTCAGGAAACAACCAAAGCCCTGACTGATGGCCTGTGCCCATTTACGTGGTGCAAACACAACTGCCAGGGTGAGTTTTAAGCTACTTATGCAACATTCCTGGATGGGGAATTGGGAGGATGTGCCATAGCACACCGCTATATGTTGTCCCCACCATAGAGATAGAATAGGCATGTGCAATCTTAAGAGAAGAAATAATAGTAAAATAATTAGGAAACAAATCATTTTTAGCATTTCTAAATATAATTCTTTAAATTTGGATTTATATAATTTTATTAATAATGTTTGTGTTTTACTCTCAAACTTCCCAGAAACTTAGCAGTCATCTTTCATGAGCTACTAGGCGGTTTCCACACACCATCCCACCCTCCCCGAGTCCATAGAACAAAGCAAAGCAGCCACTGTCCACAGGAACAAGCCCCGTGCAGTCACATGTCACACATGAGGAGGTCTGCGGTGGTGCAGGTGAAATTGGAGCACCAGGAGATGGTGGTCAGGCCAGGGACCCATCCTGGCACAGAGACAGCATGGCAGGTGCTCACAGGAGATCTGTGGAGGCGATGCTGCCTCCTGAGGTCCTGCACCTGGTACCCCACCTGCCCCGCCCCGGGCCTGAGTCACAAACAGGTACCAGTGGAAGGTAAAGTGATACCAATTGCTGCCCACGGCCCTGGCCCCACTTCACACAGAGAAATCGATCATGCGGGGCCAACAGGCCCCAGCCTGACTTCCTAGATGAGAATCTGGATTCCGATCCCAGCTCTCTGCGGGCTGAGAAGAGTTGTGTTAGTTCATGAGGCCTCACCAGACTCAATCAACTTGATGAGTCAGAGTCCCAGCTCCCACGTGAGAACCCTGGACCCTTCATGCCTTTCAGTTACAAGCTTTTATACGTTCATTGCCCGTCCCCCCCGTCCCCGTCCCCCCCGCCGCCCCTAGCAACCAGCCCAACCTTCCTTCCTCTGAGAGCAGGAAGAGGACATCACAGAGGAGTGAGACAAGACCAGAGCAGGCGACGGAACCGCCAGCACCACGCAGCCTGCCCACACCTCAGCTTCCCACGCTCCCAGTGATGGCTCTGCTGCTCTTCCTCCTCTCAGCCTGAGGACGGCAGGACATCCTCACAGCATCCGTGTGAGTGCATGTCCAATCACTAGAGAAGTGAGCATCAGCAACATCACCCACTACCACTGCCCGGTCCCGGAACTCCTGACCCGATGCGGCCGCTTCCCCGCCGCCCGGGCCCCCTGCAGCCCGGGCTCTCCGCACGCAGAGCCGCTGGCAGGTGTGTGTCTGCCCCCGAGGAGAGAGCACTCCTCAGCGGGCAAGGCCTGCGGCCCTCTTTGTTTCTTCCTTTTTGCACTCCTTGCCCAAGGATATGGTTTTATTGATTTATTTTATTGGCTTTTTAACTTTTTTAAATTAAAATTTCCATCAACATTTATTCTCTCTATGCCCTCTTCCACTTCCCCTGCCCTCCTCTCATTCCACAATCACCTCTCTCTCTTTTTCACTTTTGCTCAATACTTCTACCCCCCAGCACCCTTCCCCCCACCTCCCACCCACCCCTGCCTGGGCTGCCTGCCTGCCTCTGTCTATGGGTCTGTCTCTGTTTTGCTTGGTAGTTCAGCTGTTCATTCAGCTTGTTCATTAACTCCACATACAAGTGAGGTCACATGGTATTTGTCTTTCTCTGGCTGACTTATCTTGCCTCCATTAATGTTTTTCATCTATGCTGTTGCAAAAGGTAAAACTTTCTTCCTTTTTACAGCAGAGGAAAGAGAGAGGGAGGGAGAGAGAGAAAGAGAGAGAGAGAGAGAGAGAGAGAGAGAGAGAGAGAGAGAGAAGAGAGACAGAGAGAGAGAGAGAGAGAGAGAGAGAGAGAGAGAAGAGAGAGAGAGACAGAGAGAGAGAGAGAGAGAGACAGAGAGAGAGAGAGAAGAGAGAGAGACAGAGAGACAGAGAGACAGAGAGACAGAGAGAGAGAGAGAGGTGTGTGTGAAAGGGCATCAAACCCGCAAGCTGGGTGACAGCCAACAGAGGACACTTGGCTCAGACGGACTAGGAAGCCCCGAAGGAGAAAGGACCTCATTTCGTGGAACAGCCTGACCAGCGGATCCCGCACAACAGGAGGCAGCGCATAGGGCCAGCAGAGGCCAGGGTGACAAGCCCCACAGCCCACACCTCACGGCCACACCCATCGGGCTGAAGGACAGGAACTCCACCCAGTCAGACTGGAACACTCCATCCCCAGCCCTCCCTTGCGTTTTTTGCGCATAAAATTCAGCCCCAAGGACAGCGGAGCCGAGCCCTAACCTTCTGGCCGGGTGTGGCTCCATCCCCATTCCCTCCAACAAACTCCCTCTGCTCCTGCACGCGCCTAGTTCCTGAGCGACTGGGGTCTGACACTGGGAACTGCGCTGGCTGGGGATTGAACCCAAGGCCTTTCGGTGTGGGGGATGATGCTCTGACCTGCTGAGCCGCCCGGCCAGGGCGGGCCTGTGTCTTTCTGTCCTTTGTGGCATCCACAGCTCCTGGCAGGAGTCAGCCTCACCCTGCAGAGGCAGAGCGGGGTGTGAGGCAGAACAGGGCCGCTTTGTCCTGCCAAGCCCCCTCCGAGACGCTGTGGCTGAGCTGAGCACTACTTGGGAGCAGCAGGCACAGTGTTGCCAGAACTTCCAGTGTTTCAGCCAGAAACCCAGGATTTCATGAGAAACTTTTTGATTTTTAAATGTTGGCTCAAATTGAAAAGGAAAAGATGGTGATGTGCAAATAGAACCATCTCTGGGCTATGCTGGCGGCGGCAGCCTCCTGAGCAGAGAGCCCTGGGAGCAGGCACCCGCGGGTGACATTACCGCCACGGGGGGAACCCCGCATTTCCTACACGTAAGCAGAGTGCAGGGAGCTGTTCTGAGAGGAGAGAGGAGGAGATGACACAGTTGTGCCGGTGGCTGCCTCCCCGGGGGCAGAGGCTCTGGGCACAGCCCCAGGTACTTGTCTTGGACCAAAGGAACCTCTTTAAAAGATAAAAAAGAGACGATGAAATGCTGAAGACATTACATAAACATATCAAAAGCATACTGAGCAATTTGTCTGACACTAGTCTTAGGATTGAGTAAATTTTAAGAGAAATTATTGAGAGAAGGAGCTGTGGTGGGGGGTTAAAGATAGTAAGGAGCCCGGGTTAGCCCTCGCTGGTTTGGCTCGAGGTTAGACTTTCTGTCTGCGGATTGGTGGATCGCGGGCTCAATTATGGTCAAGGGCACGCACCTCCTGGATGACAGCTTCAATTCCAGCGGGGGCGTGTGTGAGAGAAAACCAACTGGTGTATCTCACACCAATGTTCTCTCTCTGTCTCCTCTCCCCCTTTCCACTCTCCCTAACAATCAGTGGGAAAATATAGCCCCTGGTGAGGATTAACAAAGAATTAACAGCAAAGAAGCTTGGGTTAAATCTACACACTTCCAGCCAGAGAGGAGTGGGATTTCCATCTCAAGGGACTTTAAATGATCCTCTCAAGATAGGAGGCGTAACATGGAGAAAACCTGAGGTGACAGCAAAGATGGGTCTTCTGCACTAGCTGGTTTAGCTCAGTGGATAGAGTGCTGGCCTGCAGACTAAAGGGTCCCAGGTTCGATTCTGGCCAAGGGCACATGCTGGGTAGGGGGCATGCAGGAGGCAGCCATCCATGATTCTCTCTCATCATTGACATTTCTCTTTCTATCTCTCTTCCTTCCTCTCTGGAATCAATAGTTTTTAAAAATGGGTCTTCTGTTTAGACTAGTTTGAATGCAAAATTCCACATTTACAGATGAAGCTGTCAGTGAAGTGACTCATGTCTCAGTGCATTCGGATGTGTCTACTTGAAGAAATTCTACTGATGAACTACTTTCCAAATGAATGTGCAACTTAGAGCAAAATGTTTTCTAGTGACAGGTTTCCTGGGGTCTTCAGAGCTCAGTCTTTGTCGTTCAGCCCTGGGTGTCTTTCTATTTCTCACCATCCATCCAGGAATTCACAAACTGCTCCCACCTCAGTGAGTCCAATGCTGATATTATAAGGTTTCCTGGGGATGCATTTAGTCATGTTGATTTTTTCCTATCTCCCCTTTTTTTCTAAAAGAGAAACTCACCAAAAAGGTTTTTAAATAACCATATGTTGCCCTTGCACTTTGGTAGATCAGTGCATTGGGGCGATATGTTTTACTGCTGGATTGCTCCTATTGTCACTAAATATTAAATTACTGTGAACATTTGTTCCATTTCAATTTCCCCTTTGGAAACTGATTTAATTTTGTGTGAATTTTTTTCTCAGAAAAAAAAAAATTCTTTCAAAGGTGTTTTTCCACATAAGAAGGAACATTAAGACTCACTAATAAGGAAAGAAATTCAAATGAAAACAATGCCCTATCATGTATGCACCTACCAGACAGCAGCAATTAAGAACAGCAGTCCCCAGGGCAGGAGGGGGATGATCAGGCTGGAGGACTCGCAAAGGCCTTCATCCAGCCCAGCACCTGCACAGCCTCCAGCCCCGGGCACGCTCTTAAAACAACGAGCTGCCCCTAGGAATTCTTCCTAAGGAAACACCACATCCTCATGTAATGATGAACATCAAGAACGTTTGTCCTGGGAGAAACCAATATGGCGGCATAGAGTAGA